CCCGCCAGCGTGCCGACCTCCACCATCTGCAATTTGATTTGCCCGCCTCAGCGCACGTCGGTGGGGAAACGGGGGCAAACAGCGGCAACGCCGCGCCACGCCGCGCAGCACGCTCCAAATAAAAATTCAATTTGCACTCGCGGGAGGAAACTCTGCGACATCACTTGCTTCGTTACGTGCAGCCTCCCGCTTGCGCTGAATTTTTGTCGCCAGAATGATTTTTAGCGGTGTGAGTTCGTCCCATCTCGCGGAGCGCGTCGCTAGCTAATCAGCGGTCCTTCCGTTCTGTCGCAATACGAAAACCTGTCCCCGCCGCGTCGCTCCGTCTCTGTCGCACTCACGCGGCGTCCCGTCGGAGTGCGAGAGAGACAGAGCGACGAGGTGATTGGCGCGGCAGGTGCGCGAAGGGTGGCCTGCCTCACGGCGCCGAGCCGCGCGTCGTCGTCGTTGCGGTGGTGGAAGGCACGAGATGCTCCCCGCCCGACACCGCGATCTGTACAGACTGATTCCGAGAGTCGTTTTCGTCGCTCTGTCTCTCTCGCACTTACAGGGCGTCCCGTAAAGATGCGAGGGAGACACAGCGATGAAAACGACTCTCGGAATCAGTCTGCTGGTCCACGAGGCGGCAAGCGGCGTGCTTTGGCCGGCTTTGGCACTGTTCCCACGACAGGAGATAGAGCGAGCGCGTGTCGGAGGCGGGGCCGGCGGGGCGACTGTCGCGGCCGCGGGGAAAACGGCGGAGAGGCACACACCTTCTTGTAGCCCGCCATGCGGATGATGACCTCGAGCGTGCGGCCGTCCATGTAGCCCACGTGCAGCGCGGGGATCTTCAGCTGGTCGGCGCGCTCCACCACCTCTCGCAGCACGTCGTCCACGGGCTGGAACGTGTTCTCGCTGTAGCTGTTGAGGTTCTCCTCCAGCGTGTACCTGCAGGGCACGCCATTCGGAGCGTCGTGAGATTTGGCCTTCAAGGAGGTCCTGAAGACTGATTTCGTTGTCGTCGCTCTGTCTCTCTCGCACCTATGCGGGACGCCCCATGAGTGCGAGAGAGACAGAGCGACGGAAAAGGACTCTCAGGATGAGTCGGCTGGCAGGACTGAAAGCCATGCGGTCGTCCTTATTTGTTTCCCTGAATCACCTCACGTTGAGCCTATTTAGAAGCACTAGACGCTGAAGCACGATGGCCCTCGAGATAACGGGGCTTAGGCATAATTGCGATCTGCTCGTGTTTATTGTCGCAGTGACGCTGATTAAAGCGATTATGGCCCCGAGAAATCGGAGGGGGGGTGAGAGAGGGGAAGGTCCCAGAAGGCCCCAGACTATTTTTTTTCGGTAAGCATAGGCAGTCCAATCTCACTCTGTTGGCAGGGGGAATTGCAAATTGGATGACTTTTTTTTTCTTCTTTTATTTTCTTTTTTATACAGTGCAGGTTGCAATGACGCCCGAGCGTTTCGCCTTACTTGTTTTCAAAGCCGCTGGTCACGGAACAAGGACGTTGTGATTACCATTTTCATGTCCGGCCCGACTGACTCAGTGAGTCGTTGCCGAAAAGCGAAACACCTTCAGCGGAGGAGGCAGTGACCCTCGGCGACAACAGCGATGACGTTGGACAACGCGGTGTACAGACTCTTCAGACTGATTCTGAGAGCCGTTCTCGTCGCTCTGCCTCTCTCGCACTCGTGGAGCGTCCCGCACAGGTGCGAGAGAGACAGAGCGACGACTCTCGAAATCAGTCTTCTGGCCTTCATGTCAACCACGTATATAAACTACATAAACTGGTCTTTATGTTAGAGCTTCTCTTCTATTCATCAAAACTGCATTTTCACTGGTAAATATTTTTGTTCGAAATTAAATAGAAAAATAATTTTTTCCCCTCTCCAAATCGACGTCTAAAAACAGAAAACCAAGGCCACTTTATCTGCGAGTCCTTGTTGGATCATGATGCCGTAGATTGGATGGGATAGCAGTTTCGGCCCCTGACAGTAGGCAACTTTTCAAACTTTGCACCCACCTATCAAGTCAGTGCTGCCAGAAAAGTAGGAAAAAAGGCAGCCCAAACACACAGGTGTGCGGAGGACTGTACCTATCCTACTTGGCTACTTCTCGCCCCTGCTGTTGAGTATGCAGCTGCCTATAGCAGGATAAAGCCCGCAAAACAGCTCTTTGTTCGGGTTCCTTTTTGCCCTCGTACTTTCCTGGCAACACTGCCTATAGTCACTCCGACGAGTTGTTTATTTTGCCACTCCATTTTGAACCCCATTCACGCAGTAAACTGGCCGAATTCGAGAGGAAATGATGGTGCCTCTGCCACTGGACTCAAGATCTGTGTTTCCAGCTGCCATTCCTCCCGGCGGCTTTCCAGTGTGCCGCCATGTCCATGTAGCCCCGGAGGTCCCTAATGTTCATCTCCCTCATTCTCTGCCGTCATCCTCGGACTTGGTCGCGGAACCACTCTGGGAACCACTCCACTGCACACTGCGACTGGGACGACTCGATGTTGCAACTCACCCTCCGTATGAGTACTCCTTGCGGGCGGCGTTGACAAACGCCATTTTCGATGCCTAGGGGAGAAGCGGACTCTAAATAGTGTAGTGGGTTTGTCGGCGCGGCCGGCGTTTGTGCGGACTGCGGACGCGGCTGGTATGCGAACGCGGGGCGCGGAGCGGACTGGACTGGACCGGCGGAGTGTTTTCGCGGCAACGCCAGGCGAGTCGCGGCGCGCGCTGGCTTTATAAAAGCCCCGGGGCAGCACACCAGCAAAGCAGCAAACCGATGCCGAGAGTCGTTTCCGTCGCTCCGTCTCTCTCGCGCTCATGCGGCGTCCAGTGTGGGTGCGAGAGAGACGAGGGCGACTCTCGGATTCGGTCCGCAGGCCGCAACGAGGCACCGGCACCGCACCGCGGTGGCTGACGTCGGCGATGACGAGGCCCTCGCCCGCCTCGCCCAATCCGGCCGCCGCGCGGACGATAAAGACAACAGTCCGCCCCCCTCTCTCCCTGTGTGGACGGACGTGTCTGTTGACATGTGTCGGCGTGTGGTGGTGGTGCAAATGGCAATCAGTTCGCCGAACTGGCCGTCGCGCCGGCCCGCCCCCGCCGTGGCGATGCGGCCATGCATGCAGTGTATGA